GACTTTTATTTGGTTAAATTGATTATTGTTTTTTTATTTTGGCATGCTTTGGTGTGTTAGGTTTTATGTGTTGATTTTTTTAATTGTTTTTTTTTTACTTCGGCTATTAGTTATTGTAATTATTTTTTGTGATTAATAAAATTGGGTCTTTTCTAGCAAAAAAAATATTTATAAGGAGATTTTTTGGTAATTGTTTATACAATCTTTTTTTGTTGGCAAAAGATTGAATTATTCCGCCAAAGTCCATTAAGAAGCTTACTATACTCTTGCGTGGAATCCAGATTAGCATGATCAAATAGATTGGGGGACCACCGTATCACCATTATCCAATATATTATTGCTGGCACGAATCTCAATATAATAATTTTTTCGCCGAAATCTCAAATATAATATTTAATTGACTAAAAGTCTTCCCAAAAAAGATTATGTTTTATGTTAATAATCTACTACGGAAGTCAGATCCAAATGTTGTTGCAAAAGCTATATAAAATCCAGAATTTTAACATATTTAGAAATTATAATTTTTAAATAAGAAAAAAAATTAATATGTTGGTTTTATAGATTTATTGAGAGAGAATTTTATTTAAGGATCATGGGTGTGACATATTTTTTTAAAAAAACTTAATACAATCTAAAATTTTATTGTAGGATATTGGGCCAAAATTGAATTAAAATTGTAAAATAAAGTTATCAAGATATCTTTCTTCAGCATGTTGAAAGTAACAAGCAACACAAGAGAATTAACAAATACAAGAAAGCATTTAACAAGCTTTCACCTAAAAAAAAAAACATTTAACAAATAATATAATTGATTAATAATAGAAGTCAATGTGGCAATTTAAACATGTAACTTGTTAAATGGTTATCATTACTTCTAAAATTAAGAACGTTACCTATCAATTCTCTTGCATTACTTGTTACATTCAATGCATTGCAACCAACATGATTATTAATATTTAAGAAGACTTCTGAATTAATTTCTTAACTTTAATTTATTTATTAATTCTTTAGACTTAAAATTAATGAAGAAAATAGTAAAGGAATATCAATCACTCTTTAAAATAAGATAATTAGAGAAAAATAATGAAGGACTATCAATCTTTCTTTATAATAAGATAATTAGTAAGAAAAATAGTGAAAAACTATCATCCCTTTCTAAAATTAAATAATTAGCGAGGCACTAGCTAATTACTACAAAAAAATAACTTTTAATGAATTATAAATTTAATTATTTTTATTTAAAAATAAAAATAAAATTTAAAAATTAACTAAAATATTCATAATAAAATTATTTAATATTTAATATTTGCTTTATTTTAAGTTCATTTTATTTACAAAAAATAATATTTTATTAAAAATATAATATAAAGAGTCATATAAATACAAATATTAATATTTTTAACATATTAATAATTGAAAATATAATATAATATACATGTGTATTTTATAATATATTATTTGATATCTTTGTGTAATTAAATAATATATATTTAATTTTTCATATGATGACTATAGATGTGTTTAAGTTCAATTGATAAAGAAAGAAAACATAATGCTTGGGAAAGGTAGGAGGGTCAAGGATTTAAGTCTTAACCTTATCATTAATATAACGAATATGTGACGTGACAGTAAGCGAGTGATGTAACATAAGGTAAAAAATGATATAGCATGAGTTGTCACACACGTAACTGGTGACAAAACAAGTGATGATAGGTGACATGGTATGAGCTAGCTTACACATGGCTAGTAATGAGGCACTAGTGATGTGGCATTAGATGGCAAGTTTTAAATATAGGAATGTTTAATGAAGGATCAAATTTCTCACTAAATTGGTAAGGAAATGTATTTCGTCACTAAATGTAATAAGACTGTTTTTTGCAATGAAATTAGTAAGGGACAAAATCCATCGCTAAATGGCAATTTAGTGAGGGATGCTAAATTGGTTTTTTTTTTTTCTGTAGTGTACTTATTAACTCCATAACTTTTCTCATGATGTCCATGTGGTGAGTTAAATTTATCAATTATTAAGTTGTTAACATAACTTATAAAATCAAGTATACTGCTTGTTAATTGCTTTACTTTACATCATAGTTTTCTTATGTTACTTATTTTGCTACAACATATTGGAATAAGGATATTTTGATTATTTTGTTTTACGATATTATTTTAAGGGTTAACGTGCATTTTTTTTTGAACTTTTTTTAGGAGCACTGGTTACTCTGCACTGATAAGTGGGGTAATTTTTCTCCTAAATTATTTTTTTGATAAGCAAAAAACCTCTTCTATTAATTAGCCATTAATTTTGCCATTCTTTGTTGACATGATATGTGCAAGGGGCCCAACATACAGTTACAGGTAAGACTCTAATCATATTTTTTGGAACTAATTTTTTCCTCAACTCTTTTCAAAGGAGCATTGTGCACCCTTAAGCTTTTTTCTAAGAGTGTTAAGTACCTTAAATTTTTGTTAAAATAAAATTTAATAAATATTATTAAAATATTAAATATTTTTATATTTAATAATTGAAATATTATTATTTATAAATATCCATTCAAAAATAATAAATATTTTATAAATAATTTTTAAATATTTTCTAAGATAGTGGCCATATTGTTCATATGGGTAGGAACTTACCTATATTTTTAATTTTTAATATTGGTTAAGTTCCTTAAATTTTTAGATCCTTCTCTATAATTTTTTTGGATAACTAATGATTTTCTTTCAAAATATTACAATATCCAAATTTAATACTCTCTATACATTGTAATGTTGGAGATAAAATCAAAAACATGCATGACATATCAGAATCAATAATATGCCAACAAAAATATTTATTTAAAAGATATCATCTATTTCATTAATATGCTACAAAAAATATAACTTAACAAGAGAATAATGAAGAGATGAGAAAAAAAAATCCTTCCATTAATTTAAAGGTTCATTCCTTTCATTTTTAATACAAAATTATAAAATATTAAAAATATTAAAATATTAAATTTGGTTGTGTAATATTTTGGAAGAAGATTATTAGTTGATAAAAAATTACAGAGAATGACCCAAGAAATTTAAAGAACTTAATCAATATTAAAAATATAATTAATATATAAAAATATTATTACTCATCTATGAATCTATGAAAAATTAGTTTAAACTATTAATATTTAAAAATAATTTATAAATATTGAATGAATATGTATAAATAATAATTTTTAAATTTTTAAATATTAAAATATTTAATATTTTAATAATATTTATTAAATTTTATTTTAACAAAATTTCAGGGTGTCTAGTGCTTTTAAAAAGATTTTAAGGTACCCAATACTCCTAAAAAAAAGAGTTCAAAGGCAATTTAGCATCATAGGATATGTTTAGAGTTTTACTTTGTCACTATATGTGGACCTTATGCACATGTTAAATTAGCAGGAAATGAACAATTTAATAGCTTACTCAAAAAAAGGGTTTTTTTTCTTGTTCATCAGAAAAATAATTTAGGGATAAAACTCTATTGCTTATCAGTATAAGATGCCTAACACTTCTCAAAAAAAAATCAAAGGTAAAAATATACCTTAATTCTTATTTCAATTGAGGGCCAATATCATGCGATGAAATTTAAGATTGTATTGAACTTGATTTGAAAATATATCCCATCCATATCTTTAGGTGAAATTCTCTTACTTATTTATCTATGAAAGTTAAAATGGTCAAATGATAAATTGGCCTTTAAAACTGCAGGTCTAGAGGCATCTTGTAACATTCCAAATTTTCATACTAAATTTTTGCAATTTTCTAAAATATATTATATCAAATTCAAGTAATTACACACACTTGACATGATAAAAAAAGATCTACTATAGTATTAAAGAGTAAAATGTACTTTAAAAAAAATACTACCACAATAGATAGGAGTTTACTTAACTTAAAACATTTCATAAAGTTTAGTACCACAACAAGAAAAGATATACCACGATAAAAAGAGTTAAATTTATTAAAGTAAGGGACTACCATGATAATTTAGAGAAAACTATGTATATTAAGATAAATCAAGTAGTTGAAAACTTAAAACATATGTATTTAATGGATCCCATTAAAAACTAATATTTAAATAGAATAAAATGATAAAAGAGGTAATTAAAAGTGGTTATGTAATTAATTGAGTTTAAATGAAATTAATGATGATGGTCATTATATTTTTTAGACCTATAGTTTAAATATCAATTTACTTTTTTTTAATCCAAGTTAAAATTCTTGAATTCTTCCTTTAAAAAGAAATTAACAACTTTTATATTGCTATTAAAAGAATATATTTCTTCCGCTTAAAAATATAAGGCATTTTTAATCAAATCTCACTTTTAATAAAGTAGTTACCCACTTTCAAAATAACCTTATTTTTTTATATTTACTCTCATTAAATACCCTACAATAAATATAAAATCATTAATCAATAGGAATACTTTTAAAAAAAGGCAATAATTACACTTTAAAATATTAAAAATACCTTATATTTTTAAACATTTGACTCCTTAAAAAATGCTTTATATTTTTTAATAGAGGGAGTATAATTTTAAAATTAATTACATATTTTTATAACTCACAATTTAAATAACTATATCATGTCTTGTTAATAATTTATATATATATATATATATATAATTTTCAAAAAAATTAATAAAAATATAAACATTGTATTAAATAATATTTTCTTTTCTAGCCAAAAATATTATATCAAATTTTTTAAAACCTTCAAAAGTGTTTTTGCTTAAAAAAGTTAATAAATCATTTATAATTTTACCTTTTAAAAATTAATATATTTAATTAATTAAATAATAAGGATTTGATTAAAATAAAATAAATTATGAAAACCCAATTTAAAATTAAAGAAAATTATAACAACGTGTTGACTAATTTTCATTTTAAATAATTATAATAAAATTACCATATTCTCCTTGATCATTCTCTGACAGTAGTGGAGTCGATTTAAAAACCGTATAGAGGCAGGCGATTTCCACCACTCACGCCGTTCCCCACGTCATTTAGTTCGGGCTTCCTCTAACAATCCTTATGCCCGCCGGAGAAATACGCTACGCGTCCCCGCCACCGTCCACGACGGGCTCCTCCTCCGCCTACGAAGACGAGGCCTGGGTCTGGGCTCAGATCAAAGCGGAGGCCCGCCGCGACGCCGAGTCCGAGCCCGCCTTAGCTAGCTACCTCTACTCCACTATCCTCGCTCACTCTTCCCTCGAACGCTCCCTCTCCTTCCATTTGGGCAACAAGCTATGCTCTTCCACGCTTCTCTCCACCCTCCTTTACGATCTCTTCCTCAACACCTTCACTTCTGACCCTTCTCTCCGTGCCGCCGCCGTTGCCGACCTTCGCGCCGCCCGAGAACGTGATCCTGCTTGTGTCTCCTTCTCCCACTGCCTCCTGAACTACAAGGGTTTCCTCGCCTGCCAGGTATTTCAATTTCTCACCTACGATTCGTTTCTCGTTTTTATCGTGAGGTTTGTGTGTGTATATGTATCGCGTATTTTGTCTGAGATATTTTCCCGTTACGGTTGGAACTTTCTCTTATCGCTATGCTATTATCAATTGAATCTTAGGATGCTCCATTTATATCGTCTCTTCTTAATAATTGAGCCGACGCTTTGCACATCGGATTTTTCAGTTTTTTTTTTTTTGGATTTTGTTCCTTTTTCACCTGAAGGGAAAATCTTCAATTGCAGGCACACCGTGTGGCGAATAGGTTGTGGCAGCAATCTCGGAGGCCATTAGCTCTGGCTCTGCACTCTCGTATTGCGGATGTGTTTGCAGTGGATATACACCCTGCAGCGAAGATTGGGAAAGGAATCCTGCTGGATCATGCTACCGGCTTGGTGGTGGGTGAGACGGCGGTGATCGGCAACAACGTGTCGATTCTGCATCATGTGACTCTGGGAGGGACAGGGAAAGTCAGTGGAGATCGGCATCCAAAGATTGGAGATGGAGTGCTTATTGGAGCTGGAGCGACCATTCTAGGGAATATCAAGATTGGAGAAGGTGCTAAAGTCGGTGCTGGATCTGTTGTCTTGATCGATGTGCCGCCGAGGACAACGGCAGTTGGGAATCCGGCGAGGTTGGTGGGTGGAAAAGATAAGCCAGCCAAGCATGAGGATGTGCCTGCAGAGTCCATGGATCACACTTCGTTCATAGCTGAGTGGTCAGATTATGTTATATAGTTTGAAAGCTTTTTAAATCAGAAACATCACTAGTGGATTATAATTTTGGAATATGTTCACATCTCTCCAGCATGTAATTGTAGATTTTGGATTTTCAGAGTTGGAAACTCAAAAATGTGACATTAACTTGTTGGGCTTACCTATCAGCATGATTTGATAATTCTGTATGATAATTTTAGGCTCATCATACACATGTGCTATGTTGCCAACAGATCTTAGTTTAAGCACTGATTTACAAGCATTTCAAGATGAGGTTTTTGTAATCAGATTGTCATCTTGCTACCTAGAACATGACATTGCGTGAGCCACTTTAAGTAAAGAGGAAAAACATATACAAAGGATCGAAGCAGATCTTTTCTAATCTTTCCTATATTCATAGAAGTCAATCCATATGGTATCATGGAAAGCAGTGATGGATGTAATTGTAAATATAAGCATGATTTCAGATGAAGTTACTTTTTATGTTAGTGTTCTTCCTGACGTATCAATACATGGAATAGTTTTGAGCTCATCTTGCTTTAATCATGGTTAGTTTTTTCTCGTTTGCTGTCACCTGTAGTTGCAGAACGGGGAAACTGCTTTGGTTGCTTGTCTTTATGATGTTGATGACTGTCTGACTGTCTTATAAATATATATATACTCTTTCAACAGACGGAGAATTACTTTTTTATCTATTTATAAGTTATGTCATCAATTTTTTATAACAAGTTTTTCTCTTGCCTTCTATTAAATGTTGGTGTGAGAAAATATATTATTAAAATATTATATCTAATAGGGATTAGGGCTGCACAAATACTGGACTGGATCGGGTTGGATGCCAGCTCGAAGTCTAGTCTCAATGGAGATCGGGCTAGAATTTTCAGTCCAAGGATTGGACGGGTTATTAATAACCGGTGTAACAAGTGTACCTTTTACACCGGTTTCAATCCCAACCGATATAAAAGGTGCACTTTTTACACCGGTTGGGATCGGAACCGGTGTAAAAAGTTAAAGTAAATTTTTTTTTAATTTTCTTGTATATAACTTTCAACATCGGCTCTATAACCGATGTTAAAAATTTAATTTTTACATCGGGTTTATAACCGATGTAAAAAGAGGGACTTTTTACATCCCCTGGAATAACATCGTCTCGTTAACCGTTGTAAAAAGTCATTTTTAACCGCTGTAAAAAGTCATTTTTGTACTAGTGAGCCTTGTTGGACCTAGGACCTAGATCGGGTTGGATTTGGTCTAGTGGGTTACTAGACCAGTCCAATTTCTTGAATCCAACTCTTTTAAAAAAAAAAGGCCCTTATATCCCCTTTCCTATAATTACTTGCATCAATATCATAGGCTTTTTTTTATATCCCCTTTCCTTTTTTATATTGCTTAATGTTTTTGCTGTCTACGTATGGCGTGAAAACACAATAGAATATATATGCTTTGCATATGTTTCTTTTTTCCAAGTCTTGAGCTAAAGAGGAACGAGAGCATGCATGAGAGTGACGCAAATACATAAACTAAGTAGACACTTGTATTCAGTTAGTAGTATATATAATGACAATAGAGTAATCCTTTTCTAATATTAAGACAACTTGATACTCTACTATCAAATTACAACAACAACAATAACAACAAGCCTTTATCCCACTAGATGGGGTCGGCTACATGGATTGCAAGACGCCATTGTGCTCTATCATTTATCAAGCTTTTAGGAATATTATTAATTAACAGATCGCGTTCAATAACTTTCAAAAGTGTTTTCTTAGGCCTTCCTCTACCTCTCTTAATCGAACTCAAAGTTATATGTTCCACTCTTCTCACTGGTGCCTCCCTTGGTCTTCTTTGTACATGCCCAAACCATCTCAACCGATTTTCTACCATTTTTTCCTCAATAGGTGTCACCCTCACTTTTTCGCGTACGTGCTCATTTCGAATTTTATCTTTACGTGTATGTCCGCACATCCATCGTAACATTCTCATCTCTGCTACTCCAACTTTATGCTCTTGTTGTCCCGTTAGAGCCCAGCATTCACTACTATATAACATTGCCGGTCTAATAGCAGTGCGATAAAAATTTCCTTTAAGTTTATTAGGCACCTTACGATCGCAAATAATTCCTTTAGCTTTTCTCCAATTAAACCACCCAGCTTGAATTCTATGTGAAATATCTCCATTGATTTCGCCATCATTTTGAATAATGGCTCCCAAATATCTAAACTTTTCTACTTGAGGTATAATTTGATCTCCTAATTTCACTTCCAAATTATTGTCGAATAGTCCTTTACCAAATTTACAATATAAATATTCCGTCTTACTTCTACTCAGACGAAAACCTTTCGACTCCATTGTCCTCCTCCATAACTCAAGTTTGCAATTAACCTCTTCTCTTGTATCTGCTATAAGAACTATATCATCCGCGAAGAGCATGCATTTTGAAATTTCCCCTTGAATATGTTCCGTCAAAACATTTAAGATCAAATTGAACAGATAAGGACTTAGAGATGATCCCTGATGTAGTCCAATCTTTATAGGAAAATCCTTTGTTTGACCACTAGGCGTTCTTATACTAGTTTTTACCCCCTCATACATATCTTGTATGGCTTTAATATAAGCAATCCGTACTCCCTTTTTTTCTAACGCTTTCCAAAGCACTTCTCTTGGTATACGGTCATAAGCTTTTTCCAAATCAATAAAAACCATGTGTAGATCTTTATCTTTACAACGATACTTTTCCATTAATCCCCTTAGTTACAGATGATGAAATTAAAAATAGATGGGAGACTTACTTTTCTTCTACTATCAAATTACATTGAAAAAAAAACGGAACACTAAAAGAAAAAATTGAAGACCCATATGACTACATAGATGCTAATCCAAACATCATCTTCCCCACACATTCATGGTACTATTTGTTACCTCCAGCTCTCGTCAACCCCCTTAAACATGCATGCTAGATAAGTGCCAAGTAATAAACTCATTAATATATTCATATTCAGAATATATACATCTCACCATAGTCTACTTAGTCAACAATTCAACATTTCATTATCAAGCTCTATAGTCTATCTAAAAAAATGACTATCCACATATTCTAGCCAACCACATGATGTAGCTAGCTAGCTAAAAAATAAGCATTAGCTTATCAAACTATCATCATGCTTCTTCACATAACAAAAAGTTAGTGAGATGTGTCCAAAATGTATTCAAAATATTTGAAAGTTTGAAAGTTAACAAACATAAGCACCATACAACATCAAATGACGCTCACACAACTATCTTCTCCAACATTAGTAACACTGAAAAGATCTAAAAAAAATATAAAATATAAATAGTCAATGGCATTATATCACAAAAAAAAAAAACAAATACAACTGAAACATATAACAATTCATATAAAATATAAATAGTCAATACCATCATTGCAACACATATCAGTCTTCACCACTCCCTTGGTCTCCTAAAAATTATCAAATTCTTGAAGCATAGATGCAAATTCAGAGATGGATTGTCCAGGAAGCAGCCAATTTTGAGCACAGATAAGTGCTTCAGTCATCTTTAGTGATAGTGAATTCCTATAAGAGTCCACTACACGTCCTCTTATGCTGGAGGCCGATTCAGAGGCCACTGTAGACACTGGAATAGCCAAGACATCACGTGCCATCATAGAAAGAACCTTGTATTTGCTAGAATTAGCTCTCCACCATGCTAATATATTAAAATTATCATCAACAGGGGTATCATCAGTAGAATTAGATGAAAGATATTTATCTAATTCTGATTGTGGTCTGATGAGGTTTTTTCTTTTTGAGATGCTAACCACCTGTGACCTGGATCTATACCCCCTTGGCCTTCAAACATTGAACATGTTGATGATCCTAGAAGTGTAGAAGAAGAAGCATTGCTTGGGGTACTAGTCCCTAGTCCTTTAGAATACTCATCAAACATACAGTACAAGACATCTTTGATCTTAATTTTCATGGCCATGCAAACTTCAAGATCAAGAAAAAGCTACTCAAATATATGATTCACATAAGCAAGCTTGTACGGAGGATCCAAAATCACCGCTAGAATGAGTAAAGGATTCATATTCTCTGTTTGACCCCAATATTTTTCATACTTGCTTCTCATACTTAGGGACATTTTCATAAGCAAAGGATCAACATTCACAATGTTCTCTTCCAACAACTCATGAATAAGAGCAATTTGATGAAAACAAGTGTTAGAATTAACATTTAGTGAACTTAAAAACATCAAAGTTATGTCATAGAATACCTTTAAAAATTTGAGAAAGACACGTGCCTTGTTCCAATCACTAACTTTAAGAGGGCCTTCACGCTTAGTGCCTCCAATGAAATGCCCCATATAATCTTCATCTTCATCTTCTAGGCATTTAAAAGCCATTTGAAACTTCAAAGTGGATTCCAACATCAAGTAAGTTGAATTCCACTGAGTATTGACATCAAGGCAAACAAAGCTAGTAGTGTCCAATTTCTCCAACTCAGCAACATTTTTAAACTTTTGAAGATGAGTAGGAGAATAATGAACATATTTAATTGCATTGCGGATTGCATTAAAGCTGTTCTTCAACTCCTTCAACCCATCATTAACCATCAAGTTAAGAATATGTGCACAACATCTCAATTGAAGGTAATCACCCCCACAAACCATGCCCTTCCAATTCCTAAGCCTTCTTTTCAAATAAAACAAAGCTGTGTCATTAGATGATGCATTGTCTATTGTTATGGTAAACACCTTCTCAATTCCCCATTCTAATAGACATTTCTCAATTGTCTTTCCAATTGTGTCATCCCTATGATTCTTAATCATGCAGAAATTTAATATCATCTTGTGCAACTTTCACTCAGGATCAATGAAATGACAAGTAAGGCATAATAATTGAAATTTTAAGTAGATGTCCAGCAATCAGTTGTCAAGCAAACATAATTTGCAGACTTCTTCAACACTTGCTTCAATATCTTGATTTCTTCAAGGTATAATTGCCAACAATCTCTAGCAACTGTTGTTCGCAAAGGGATTCGAAATTTTGGTTCCAGCTTTCTCATAAAGTTTCTAAACCCATGCTTCTCAATTATCCTGAATGGCATCTCATCACAAATAACAAATTTAGCCAATGTCCTTCTATATCGGTTTTGGTTGAAAACATGAGAGACTAAGCCTCCTCCTTGCCCAC